AAGACCGTTTATATTTATTCTATAACACATAACACCCGCGTGTCGTAGAAAATTCACCGGCGGACTGTACGCTGCACATCCTTCACACCCATGTGCAGCTTTTTGCTGACCTTTCTAGCACGAACTGATGTTTTGTATTCAAGAGAATTCTGAATTTTTTTTTGTATTCACGAGTTGAGTGAGTGTTTTTGTCTATGTAGTTACGAATCCCTATTTGCAACATCGCAGATTCGAATAACCAGAGTTCGAGACTCGGTGGAGGCGAATTTTCGGCACCAAAATAACTTCCCCGAAGTCGACTACTGCTTGAGTGTAAATTACAGACAAGAACGTCTCTGATTGATTTGATTCATTGTTTGATTGATTAGGCATTCCCGGATAGTCAACTGCCAAACCGGGGAAATGGCTTAGGGCATCAACTGATGTTGCTGCAGCCCCTCTGTCCGGGAGGGCCTACAGTTACAGCCCCGTCGTCTTGTCAACTAGATCAAATTCAGTTGCTGTGTGGAGGAGTATTCTAGCAGCCGGCTGCTCTGATCGGTAGTTTTCCGTGGTTTCTCCGGTCAACACCAGGCGCATGCCGAAGCAACACCCCAACAAACGGGCCACGGACCGCGTGCGATCTTTCCTACCTCTTCTTTGTCCTACCTTCACCCCTTACACACTTACACTTACACTTACATGCACTACACTACTAAACATGTCCGGAGACCGGTCGGGAGCTTAGAGCTTGTCCCGACTGGGGCGCTGCTCCGCTGATGGTAGATACCTAATCAGGGAAAACCCCGCAAGACGACGGTAGATAGGCGCCGGATCTTGTCATACAGCGGGGGAAGACCACTGCAACAAAAAGTTCCCGTTCCAAAACGCATGCAATACACTTGCGGAACTAACGACCTTGGTAGTTGACACGCCCGGAATCACTAACAATCAATCAATCAATCAACTGCCAAGGTATTTAGCCCCGTAAGTGTAGTGTATTTTTAAAGCAGGAGGTCATGGTGATCTTCCCCAGCTGGATGGCGAGATCCGGCGCCATCAAACTAGATGAAATCAGTACCGAAAAATGAAACATGCGTCATTTTTTCGTACAAATTAGCTCCAGTCTGGTCCGTCACTTTTTTGTACCGAATAAAAATGATGAAAAAATGACCGAGTAAAACGGGCTTTAGATTGTTAGTAGGGATAGATTGGAACCAAGGGTTGCGCGCAATCCGTGACCCTTCGTTTAGTGTACTGCTGTCCAGGAAAACGCCAGGTATCTGATCAGAGGAAGTTACGGAAACGACTCATTAGAGCAACCTACCTCTGTCCAGATATTTAGCAGTCGAGTATTCCATGCAGTACTTTAAAAAAAGTGTACGCTGTCTAAATCATGAAGAATTTTGATATTACGGATTATTCAGAATCCAAATAAGATGCATTAATTACATTTTAACTGAAAACTGAGGTTGAAAAGCCAAACATATAGCTAACATGTAATATAACACACTAATAAAACCCTTTTTGCGCAGCAAACAGCTCAAGAACCTATCTCATAACTATTACGATGGCAATCTTGACCTCTACGCAGGATTTCGCCACGTCACGGATTAACTGATCGCCAACTGACGAGAGACCTCTATCTGCAGTGGCCGGAATACTAGGGACTACGCAGAGCAGCGATGTCAAGGTTACTTCTGGTGACAGCACATCTTGAGCCATCGTAGTTTGACACGAGCCTATCAGCGCAACTAGTTTCGTATAAGGAAGCGGTCAAAACATATCAATTTTGAAGGCCTTGTCGAAACCTGCAGCAGAATATTCACCAAAGGATAAGCAATATTTTGTTTCTGCAAACAAGACGACGTGCACAGAAAAATAAAAATGCTACTAATCGTAGTAATAATTATCTTACTTCAAATGATTTTTGTAACTCCTGCCTAATCGAGACTCACGTGTAAGTTCCAAAGCCACTGTCACAACTGCGCTCTTGTGGTGAGGTGCTCAACTAAGCATGGAGGGGATATTTCAATATGCCTCAGATACTCAATGGTAGCAACTATCTTGGCATCACTTATCTAACCCCCACTGCTCTTTGTTATTAGGGGCTTAAATCACAGAGATGCGAACAGCTATCGACCAGCAGTATCGACCTACGAACAGCACATGTGCAGTTCGAGCTCCGCATGGGCAGATAATAGGGAGTTAGTGCGCGCCCTAGAGGACAACCCTATCGATCTTCTGCGCATGCGCAGATGCACTAAAGTGATACAAAACTTGAACCACGCACGCGCAGAAAATCGATAGTGCTTTAACGTTTGTACGCCTTAGCTGGCAGCAAGCGGCTACAATCTCGTTCTTCTGCGCATGCGCAGATATACAAAAGTGATGCGAAACTTGAACCGTGGTGGAAATACATAGGTGAGTTCATCCAGCGCACCGATTTTGGCTCATTCTGCGCAGCACCAGTCAAAAACCACGTGACCAAATTACGGGCACTTCATTTGAAAAGCTAGACCAGGCGCTGGTCGCTATGTTGCATGGAGAGCGAGAAGTATTAGGAAACATTTTCAATGTGACAATTTTCAATAGAGACCAACCAAAAATAACACGATGAAGGTGTACATGATAGAATATTTATAAGAAATGATTCATAAATATCTTTCGATATCTTGTATGAGGTGATAATTTGGTATCAGACAGCATTTAAAATTCCCACTAATAGTGTGATGTAAACTGGTGCCTACAGCTCATTGGCAGTAGTCGGATATGATGCGCAAGAGATCCTCCTCCTGACTTGAACTGAGCACGCACAGAAGATCGATAGTGCTTTAACGTTCGATTATGCACCCTCGAACGTTGAAGCACTATCGATATTCTGCGCATGCGTAGTTCAAGTTTAGCATGACTCATGTGTATCTGCGCATGCGTAGCAGATCGATAGTGCTGTCTGCAATGACTTGCACAAACTCGCTATTCAAAAGTGGTATAGAGTGATCGCGATATTTCTGTTGATTGATGTACGCTATGAAGTGCGTAAGTCAATCTCATAATATCTATTCTATCTAAGTCAATCGCATACATTCTACTAAGGTATAGATTATACCCGCAAAATAATAAAAATCCAAGAAAATTAAGTTTTTTTAAATGGCTATTTCTTATTTTCAGTGACTTGTAACCGCTAATATATGATTTCTAATAGGGCGGACCCGTTTTTCTCTAAGACCTCTTGTTTTGTTTTTATTTTGATATCTATGAAAGAAAGAGAAAAAAGAAAAATGAAATCTGCAGTTCGTTTACCGTTGCAAATAAGTTTTCTATAACTTGGGAACGAAATCTATTCTTTCAAAAGTTGCTAATCTCTCGCTTCTTTAACTTTTATTTTCATTATTATTTTAAAAAAAAACTTACTCATCTTTCGACTATTTACAGTTAAAAAATGATGGGAAGGGATTCTGGAACTCAAGAAAACGTGCGCAGATGATCTTCTCCCCCATACGTCACATACAGGTTTTACTGTTTTTGACTAAATGTAAATAATTCTTAATGAAGCCATGGGTTGGAGTCATGTCCCACTTTTCAAACTAAACGTGAAAAACGGTGAAATTAAAAATAAAAGTAAGCCAAACACAGACAACATCATGAGGGAAGGAAACTTATGAGGAAGAAAAAAATAATATAAGGAATATATTAACATAGAAAAGAACAAATGATTAGAACTGTCAAGCGTTTGATAAACATTAAAGACATTTTCTGAAAAGTTGACCTGCTTGTCGCCAGTAAGCCGAACTATCATCTCACCCGTTCTATAGAAGATAACACTTTCATGGTTCTTTCTTTGATATGACCTAGAAATATATTGGTTAGTTCACGAACCAAAACTAAATATGTGGACAAATTATGTCGTGAAGAAAATGTAGTTTTTGACATTTGTTTTATATTTTACTTTCAAACTGTTGTAATATTTTTGAGATGGTTGTTCACACATCGGTTTAATAAGATCACGAAAAAGTATTATAGAACTATATTAGAGAGAGACTGTTTCCTCTTTCTGTTGTATTCCGAGGAATAGTTTTTGGAAGCGTATCTTTTGGTGGGCAATTCTGGTTTAGGTGTTTTTCGAACAATTTTTTCTTTCTTCGGTTTTTTGAAGTCGATCTTCTCCCAGTACTTGGGCTGGAAGAATTGAAAGTCACCCTCTGATGTTTCATTTCTCTTTATGAAAATCCTTAGGTAAGTGTTGTTTTAACATGTTATTGAATGTTTATGTTTTATCGAGTATTTATTGGTTGTTTTAATAATTATGTGTTATTAATTGTCGCAGGTGTTAAAATTTGTTGCCGGTGTTTCAGATACTCCGTAAACCGTCCCACTTAAAGGAAATGAAAACCCTCCAGCAAGTACTATTGAGCAGCGCAAACATGTTGTTTGTCCTCAGAGCCACTCCCACGTACGTTTGCGGCAAGGCTGCGCGGCCCGGCCAGGGCCCGGCCGGGCAGAGCCAGAGCGGCCAACGAGCGCAGCCCAGCCCCGCGCCGGGGGCGGCTCCACCGCCAAGGGCCTCTCGCCCGCAATCGCCTCCGCGCCCCCGCCCCCCGCACCGCTCCCCGCCTACGG